ATGATGATGATGATGATGATGATGATGATGATGATGATGATGATGATGATGATATTGTCATTCTTCTTACCCCTTCATTATGAGGCATGCGCTTGGTATGTAGGAGGGTCAAAGTAGAGCGCCTCACGAAGTCTTTCTTGGAAAATGAAGTACAACATGTACGTAATCACCATTCACTTTAAACTTTTCGAGATTTCGAGAGAAGGTATTCGTTCAGAAAGAGAGGAATAAAAGAGTTAAGCACACAAGAACGCAACAGTCCAGGTAGAGGTACTTTATTTATATTCCAGCGATAAGTATGAGTAATATGTCTAAAATGTGTCTCCTAATCTATGTAACTTCCTGGTCGCCCTCTCAATCGCGTTTTATTTCTCAGAACTGTATTACAATAGTTCCCTTCCTTTGTTCACTCTATTTGTCGTGTTCATTATCTTAGAAATGTATAACAGTCCCTTCGTGATCGTAGTCTCAATTGTGTTCCATATTTTTTAACTGTATCATAACGGGTCCCTTCCTGGCCATCCTGTCAATCACGGTCCTTCTACATGTATTGTTTTCACTGGAAAGACAAACCCACCATGTTTCCACAGCGTTTCGGCGTGGCTCCATGCCTAATGGGAGACGCCCCTCGGTTATGTGGACGCTCGGCAGCCAACGACAGGCTGACTCAGAGAAAGGGGGCGGGCCTGGAGGCGGAGACGCGGAGGGAGGCGGAGCTAAGAAGGAGGAGAAGGCGGGGAGTGACCTGCAGGAGATAGGACTGTTGTACGGGGGATCTCTCGTCATGAACGCCATTATTGGTGAGTACTGAAGTGACCATCATACTACGTAATGAATTATTGATGATACTTAAGTGATCATGTGTATGCTTTTATTATTGAATACTGAAGTGATGATTAAAATTTGTGTTTTTGTATTGGTGAGTTCCGTTGTGGTCACATGTATGCTTTTACTGGTGCGTACTGATGTTTTATATTTGTCCCTGGACTCAGAGAGACTAGAAGAATTAAGATAATGGAAAGGCCATGAGTCTGTTATTTCTCCAACCACACTTTCCCTCTCTCTCTCTCTCTCTCTCTCTCTCTCTCTCTCTCT